AATACTGTATATGAAAATAAATTTTCTGATACGACACAAATTTTTGTTACAAATTTTGTTTAATGTTACTTTATGTCAGTTATAACATTTTTTAAAATTTTAATTTATTTGTGTACTAAAAGCCAAAAGTTTTTACTTTAGTGACTGAGTATATATTTGTGAAGTCCATCCACCCAAATTTTAATATATTTCTATAGGATAATTGGTCTTAATTTGCATAACTTTTTGTTTATATAATTATTCAAAGAATGCAACCCACACAAATCACCACAATCTCTCTGTATTTAAAGAAAATAATTACATTTGTTGGTTTTAAAAGCTTTTTTTTTATAAAATATTTACATTCTGATTTTGTTAAATTGATGTAATAAAACACATTTCGACATTTAAAATATTTTAATACAACAGCGATCAGAATAATTGGTTGAATTTGAATGAGAGAGAAAGAATCGTAATAATATGTAATTTATACCAAAATGGCTTGCATGTCTACTTGTAAAACAAGTTTTCTTTGAAACATTCTCTAGAATAGAAGAAATGCTCTAAAAGAACGGCTATTTTAATTTTTTTTGGAGTGTTTCTAGAGTTAGAAAATTTTTTTAATTGTATATTGTTAATAAATACAGTATATTTAATTTTTTAAATAATTTATTTACAAATTTACATAGAATTCTACATTAAATTTAAATCCTATTTTACCATATTAAATGTACATGCTTCTATAATCCAGATTCTTTTGTATACAAAGTGATTTCATCCATATCTGTTAATAAATTGCCATAAAATGCCTTTAAAATCTATTGTAATTTATATGAAAAGTAAAATTTTTGGGAAGACAAAACAAAATCTTTTTCCCACTAATGTTAAGATTTCAAATAATACTGTATATTGTTGAATTTTAACTTTTTTCTTTTATCTTTCATTTAATTCTAGAAGTAATACAAATAATTAATTAATGTTCTTGATATAATTTTATCAATGAAAGAAATTTTTATAGGTTAATAATATTCTTATTTTATTGACTTTAGGACAGTCAATAAAATTAGCATTTGTCCTATAAAACTTTTATTAATAAAAAGTATTTAGTGTACTTAGTGATGTATTATACCAAATATGTACATGAATACATTTTGCTAATTTATTTTTTTTTTTTCAACTTATTTTTATGTATTGTCTTTACACGTAAATTATTACATAGTTTTAATTACTTTTAAGTTATAAAATTATGTAATAAGTTTAAATTCTAGCTGTTTAGAACATAGAAGTGCATTTTTACTTTTGTATTTTTTATCATTTTGCTTACATATTTATTTATTTTACATGCCCACATTTAAAAAGAACATAATTTAATTGCTTAAATTTAGAACAATCCTTATAAGAACTGTCCCATATTTTTTCCTTATCTAATAATAATCTCTCACCCCAGCAGCTGATGTAAATTTTTCCTTTTTTATTTCTATTTATGACTTCTTCAGTGAATGTTACTTTATATTTATATGCATATTTCTTATTTTTCTGGTTCAGGACCATTTATATTTTTAAAGGAATCCTTCCCTATTTATCTATCCTTTCATTTTTGATACAGTTATATCTTGCTGAGTGCTGGATAAAAAATCCAATAATGTTTGCTTCTTCCAGTTTAAAATGCACTTTTAAAAATGGAAAGAATGATCTTGATTTATGTAATCCTGAAAATAGAATGTTTTTATAACATTTAATAACATTTCGTAAAAACAGAAGGAATTCTGGTACTTGTGGGTTATCCTTCCATATGTTGCATCACGTGTTGCTTTCCATTCTCAACTATCTATCATGCTCTGTCACATTGCTTACGAAACAACATAGACAATTTGAATGGATGACTGTCTGAAATAACTAAATTTTGCACAAATGAAAGATTTAGTTAAGATTAATTTGTTTCATTAACATTTAAAAATGTTTTTCTTTTGTTTATAAAGTCTGAATAACTATTTTTTTAGAAATCAAACATACCACACAGTGTTTAATATTATGTGCTAGTATGTATATTATTTTTTGATTTGTGAAATTGTGTCGATGAGAGTTTGTGGAGAATGGATTATTCATTCAGTTTTTGGAATTTTGTCTCTGTGTGGAGTTGATATTGTTAACATTCTGTAGGAATATGGTATATTATTATTGGTAAAGCTTTTGTGAAGGCATTCAATATAGTATTGTATTGAAAGCCTTCACAAAAATATGTATTAAAATGAGTTATATTTAGAGTGAAAAATCCAAATTATGAGTGTAACAGAATGAATGTAGGTGTTATGTAGATATAGAGACAAATAGATGGAAATGGAATTTCAACCTGGCATAAAATTACACAAAGACACAATATACAACATAGAACATCAAGAAAACAGCTAAATTGATATATTGCTGAATTCATATGGAGAAAATCATTTTAAATAGAAAATATGTTTTGTGAAATGCTGAAAACAATTAGATAAAAAATGGCCGTTGTATTAAACTATTACTTAGAGAAGTAATGTAAGTTGAATTTATAACAGTTGCACACCTAAAACTTTAGCACACTTATTAACTCAACAGACTAACATTTTTGGACATGAAAAGACATGAGGATGGGCCTTTGAACATGCCAAATTCCAAAATTCAATTTACTGAATACAAGTTAGAAGTTTTAAGATTGGTAAATTTAAAAATTACAACGCATGTTTGATTATGATGTTTGAATTTTAGAATTTGACATGAAGACCAGAGAATGGCTTTGAACATGTCCAAAAACAATAGTGTGTAGAGTTAATAAATGTACTTGGATCTAAGGTGTGTGATTGTTGTTTCTAACCAAATTCAATTGGACTTTCAGAGTTGAATTTATTACATTTTAATTTAATACAGGTATTAAGAATTAAAAGAATTTATTGTAGTAATAATTATAAATATTTATATATTAATATTAAAGAAAGTAGCTTGTGAAAGTGACAAATTTAAATTTCTATTTTTAAATTTCCATTTCCACTGCAATGCAGCACCACATGCAGGTGGATAACCCATAAGTACCGTTATGAGTTCATCATCCTTTACTCTTGCCAAACTCTAATTTAAGTTTTTTGCTACCATCCATCTAGATGTTTCTTTTTTCCAGTACTTTAATATTTGATATTAATCTTTCTCTCTTTCTTATAGTAAATTTCCAGTTTATTTTTTTGTGTGCAATTAATGCAAATAAGTTTCAACAGTTTCAATGTTAGAGTTAAAATATAATAACTAAATTCTTGATCTAATTTAAGTAATGGTTTTATTTATTTATCTTCATTCATATCGTTGTTGAGATATCAAAAATATAATTTTTATAAGAATAAAAATATAAATTATTTTAAAATAATATTATGTTGTTTAATACTGTATGAAAGTACAGACTAAACACATATAAGAAACTATTTGAAATTTTTTGAAACAAATAAGAAACACGATGATAACAAATACATACAAAAATAATTACAGCAGAAATACAGTTAAATCCTAGAAAAAAAAATATATAAATCATGAATAAATCTAAACACATCTATAACATAATTATCTTTACATCTCTAAAATAATATGTAATGTTTATAAACAATGAATTTCTTTAATTTTAAGGAGCATTTTTTGCTTTCTTTCAACAGACTTAAAATTTATTGTAAGGCATCTTTAAAATGAAGTTTCACTTTCTATATGATCTTAGTAAATTCTGAAATAAGTAGATATTAAAGTTTCTACAGTCAGAGCAATATCAGACTTCTTTACATTAAGGAATTTTTTCTCATTTCCATGAGATTTGAGATAGATGGGTTTTGAGATATAGAGGTTTCTTCACAGTAAACAGTTATAGGTTTGATTGTAGGTGTGACATTTTATTAATACAATAACAAGTACAGTACATGTCTGTATTAGTTTTGGTATAAATAAAGATTTTAGACATAACTTAGTTTGTCAATAGTTTCTGATGCCTGGCTTTCTTTGACCAATAAGACACAAGCCAAACTCATAGACAGAGAAAAGCAGCATTAATTGCATCTATATACTGTATTGCAAGAGGTGTGTCTCAACTTCAGTTTACACTATGAAAATGTAGTTGCTGAGCTTTGAATTTGTAATTGAATCTTCAGTCCATATTTTGAGATATAGAGGGTTTGAGAAGAAATTATTTGAGATAAATACGTAAAATATATTGACTTTAGGCTGAAAATGCAGGGGAAAAAATAAATTTTGAGATAGAGATTTTCTACATAAACATGTTTGAGGTAGACAGGTTCAGCTATACTTAATTCATGTCAGAACCAAATATAGCCAAGAAATTATTATACTCATTTGTTTTTGTTTGTAATTATTTAATATATTTACAGGAATTATAAATAACTGAATTAAATAAGAATGTAAATAAATTGAATATTTATAGGAATATAATAATAATAAAAAACTGAATGTATATCAAATTTTATTATATTTAATTTTTTATATCAAGAATTTTTATATTTAAAAAATAAATAAATATGACTCAATCGCACACAACCTTGTATTTTGGAACAGTCTTCTTTAATGATCTTCATCAGATTGATGTTCCAAAAACTGAACATTACAAATACTAATGAAAATAGAACAAAAATATGCAAATACTGAATATGTTTGAATATAAAAAATAAATTTTTCATTCTGCTACATTGCTATGATGTGCACAAAAAAGACAATAACAAAATGTACATTGTGATTTGTTGTGTGGACCTCAAACTAAGATTTCCAAGCACTAGATATCATGTTTAAGTCCTCATAATTGACACAGTTTCCCTTACATATTGATTCATAGATTTTTGAGGGGCCTGCTTGTTTCTGATATACTTAATAAACCTTTTGTTTGTTGTTGCTGTGCAAGGTTTTGTGCGATTGAATGATATACTGTAGTGATTACTCTATGAATTAAATAAATATGAACAATGAATTTAAAACATTAATAGTTTATTTAACTTAAATTTTTCTTTCAGACAACATGATGCAAAAATGTAAAATCATGAATGTATTGGTTCAGTGTGATGATTATTTACTTGGTATTAGACCATTGAAATGTGAATCAAAAATGAGTGAATTATACAGTCTTCTCTCAGTAGTCAACTCTCCATTTGACTTTCTTTGCAGTACATTGGGAGTCAATTCCCTCTCTGAAATAGATGCCCAATTAACAAAGAATTTTAAACATAATAAAAACAATTTACCATCACCAGGATTTTCTTTATTAGAATCTTATCAAAATTTAGATAGAAAGAAATGTAAGTGCTTTTAAATAATATACTTAACATTTATTTAAATTTATATATTTTGTAATTAAACAGATATATTTATCCTAAATAGGTGATGAGGAACTTCCCACTTTACTTCATTTTTCTGCTCGTTATGGTTTAAAAGAGTTAACTTCACAGTTGCTCCAATGTCCAGGAGCGACACAAGCTTGTGGTCTGCGAAACTCTAGAGGCTTAATTCCTTCACAGCTAGCCTATCATGCAGGATACAATGATATTTCTAAACTGTTAGATGATTTTAAGGTAGAAATTTATATTTATAAATTAATAATACTAATTTTATTAAATTATAATAAGTTAATTTAAAATCAATTTATACTAGAAATTGACTGAAACTGAAAAATCCATCCAGACTATGGAATTAAGAAAATCTCATTTGTCTACAGTTTATGGTAAGAATATTTCTTTTAATATATAATAGTACATTAGCAAATTAGAATTTTTATGTTAAGAATGTTAAAAATTTATATTTTTGTATATACGGTATTGGTATAAAATATTTTTTATTAATGTGTTATATTCTTATATAATATAAAAGTTATTGTTCAATTTGTTTTCTGAAAATATTGAAAGTCTTTGAATAAACGTTTATTTTATTTTTATTAATAGCAGATAGTTCATTGTAATTTAAAAAATTATATATTTACTCAGAGGCTTTTAGTTTCTATCATTTGTTAAAAAGAAAGTTAATAATTATAATCCTGAAAATTTGATTTTATTGTATTCAAATTCTACAAACTTAGTTTTATATTTATAAATAATGAAAATACCAGAGCCAGATTTAGATTTGTTGTGGCCTTGTGCTATAACATACAAGAGACTTTTCTTTCTTCATAATATTGGGCAATATTTATAAATTGTCTTTGAGAATTGAACATAATGTTAGTGTTTAATTAAGCTTGTGATGATTGGCAACACAATGATGGACCACTGTTCCCAACCTATGTGATGTCAGACTAAGGCTAACTTCAGTTTTATAGTTGACATGCCCATGCTTGTCGTGTTTTTGCCGAAGACGTTGTTTCAAGGTCAACCTATAATTGTAAATTTGTATATAGAGATGCAAAAATAAATATTTGACAACTGCCTGGGAATTTATTGTGTGAGACCAACGAGTGAGACAAAGACACAAAATCGAAAATAAATAAAATAAAACATAATAATTTTATTAACTCGCTCATTGTGATACAGGTTTCTAAGGATACCAACAATGCTACTCCCACCAAATAATTCACACAATTAATTATTCCACCACAGTACAATATAGTCTCCCAACAAAGAATGCACACGTATAGTCCTTTGTCTGACACAATGATCCAATTACTTAAAATTATATTAATTAAAATTAGATTCTTATTACTACTTACAGTAGTAATAAGAATCTAATTTTTACTTAATTATTACTACTTACAGTAGTAATAATTAAGTAAAATTTAGAGAATGAAAGTAAGGGATAGAAAAGAGGGTACCCAAAACTTGATGAGGTATGCTGTTTGTATGAGATCGTGGATGAGATCTCTTGTTGGATTGGTGACTAACTTCACTTTTGTTGCTCTCCAAAATAATAGTTTGAAGGGCTGATGCGTCTTGTTCCTCACAATTAATTTCTTTTTATTTCTCAGTTCCAAGGTTCTTGTCTCTACCATACGATGCTAAACATACTGGGGAGACTCCATTTCGCTCTCTTCTTCAGGTTTCTGCTCCGGAATGACCCACATGTTCGCTCCCCTCCCCTCATGGTTGCATTCCACTTCTTTGTTTCTGGGGTTAGTAATCTACATACCAAAGCAAAGGGTAAAATGAGAACATTCCAGGAAGGGTAGACAAATAGGACAGAAAGAGGAGAAGCAAAGAATATACAATATAAAATAATACAATTATATACAAAATATACAATTTAAATATGGTGTGTAGCCACAATTGTCTTGTCTGAATTGTTTACCCACTACAACTATGACACTACATGTGGATGTGATCGTATTGATTAGCATACAAGACTGAGCTGGAAAAAAGAAAGTAGGTGCCTCAAGCTGTTGATAGTTTAGCTTTGCACATAAATCTGGCTCTGATGAAAACATTTGTTACATTTAATTCACTTTAAGTATTCTATAATATTCTTAAGTTTAAGAGGCTCATTCTGTATATAACTTAATATACAGAATTAAAATCAAATTTCGTTTGGTTTTTATTTTTAAAATTTTCTCTCAGAACAAATGAAAGAATGTCCTGGTTCCCTGTATGATGTCCCACTTCCCAATCCCATACCTGTTCCTAACGTCCAAAAATCATGTACCTCCTCCTCTTCTTCAGCAGAAAATGATTATTTAGGAATGCTTGGTTTCAAGCCCGCTGATGTTGGTATGTTTAATCACAAACCTAATCTTTGATTAAATATTAGAAAATTCTATTTTCTTTTTAATTAAACACCAATTGTATTTTCTAAATAAAATAATGTTTTAAAAGGTTAATTGTATTACATTTATTACAGATAATTTGGAACCTCATAAAAAGCTACTCTTGGGTTTAGATACTCCGAAAGAACTCTTAGATAATCTTAGTAGTTTATCAATTGATAATCCTTCAGATTCTTTGGAAAATTTAACAGGTGAGAGCCAAATTATTTACTTGTTTCATGTGGTAAGGTAATTATTTCCCTAATTGAAGAGCAAAGCCACATTCTAAGAAATTTGGGTTTATGACTCTTCAAATAATTCCAAATTTTTACAAAAATGTTTTTCAAATTATCATTCAGTTTCTGGTTAAGACGACTCATCTTTGTTATTTGTATAGGATCTACTTTATATGTGAGGAGATCATGACCTTGTTCTCTTGTTTTATTAACAAAGGAATTGCTTATGATGATCTTTAAAACAAAAGAAGCAGAATAACTGTAACATTCCTTGATTATTCCGCTTCTTTCATTCTGAAGAAGACTATCATGAGCAATTTGGGTTTATTTTAACCTCATAATTTATTATAGCTAATTCATATTAGGACNATTAAATAAGAATGTAAATAAATTGAATATTTATAGGAATATAATAATAATAAAAAACTGAATGTATATCAAATTTTATTATATTTAATTTTTTATATCAAGAATTTTTATATTTAAAAAATAAATAAATATGACTCAATCGCACACAACCTTGTATTTTGGAACAGTCTTCTTTAATGATCTTCATCAGATTGATGTTCCAAAAACTGAACATTACAAATACTAATGAAAATAGAACAAAAATATGCAAATACTGAATATGTTTGAATATAAAAAATAAATTTTTCATTCTGCTACATTGCTATGATGTGCACAAAAAAGACAATAACAAAATGTACATTGTGATTTGTTGTGTGGACCTCAAACTAAGATTTCCAAGCACTAGATATCATGTTTAAGTCCTCATAATTGACACAGTTTCCCTTACATATTGATTCATAGATTTTTGAGGGGCCTGCTTGTTTCTGATATACTTAATAAACCTTTTGTTTGTTGTTGCTGTGCAAGGTTTTGTGCGATTGAATGATATACTGTAGTGATTACTCTATGAATTAAATAAATATGAACAATGAATTTAAAACATTAATAGTTTATTTAACTTAAATTTTTCTTTCAGACAACATGATGCAAAAATGTAAAATCATGAATGTATTGGTTCAGTGTGATGATTATTTACTTGGTATTAGACCATTGAAATGTGAATCAAAAATGAGTGAATTATACAGTCTTCTCTCAGTAGTCAACTCTCCATTTGACTTTCTTTGCAGTACATTGGGAGTCAATTCCCTCTCTGAAATAGATGCCCAATTAACAAAGAATTTTAAACATAATAAAAACAATTTACCATCACCAGGATTTTCTTTATTAGAATCTTATCAAAATTTAGATAGAAAGAAATGTAAGTGCTTTTAAATAATATACTTAACATTTATTTAAATTTATATATTTTGTAATTAAACAGATATATTTATCCTAAATAGGTGATGAGGAACTTCCCACTTTACTTCATTTTTCTGCTCGTTATGGTTTAAAAGAGTTAACTTCACAGTTGCTCCAATGTCCAGGAGCGACACAAGCTTGTGGTCTGCGAAACTCTAGAGGCTTAATTCCTTCACAGCTAGCCTATCATGCAGGATACAATGATATTTCTAAACTGTTAGATGATTTTAAGGTAGAAATTTATATTTATAAATAATGAAAATACCAGAGCCAGATTTAGATTTGTTGTGGCCTTGTGCTATAACATACAAGAGACTTTTCTTTCTTCATAATATTGGGCAATATTTATAAATTGTCTTTGAGAATTGAACATAATGTTAGTGTTTAATTAAGCTTGTGATGATTGGCAACACAATGATGGACCACTGTTCCCAACCTATGTGATGTCAGACTAAGGCTAACTTCAGTTTTATAGTTGACATGCCCATGCTTGTCGTGTTTTTGCCGAAGACGTTGTTTCAAGGTCAACCTATAATTGTAAATTTGTATATAGAGATGCAAAAATAAATATTTGACAACTGCCTGGGAATTTATTGTGTGAGACCAACGAGTGAGACAAAGACACAAAATCGAAAATAAATAAAATAAAACATAATAATTTTATTAACTCGCTCATTGTGATACAGGTTTCTAAGGATACCAACAATGCTACTCCCACCAAATAATTCACACAATTAATTATTCCACCACAGTACAATATAGTCTCCCAACAAAGAATGCACACGTATAGTCCTTTGTCTGACACAATGATCCAATTACTTAAAATTATATTAATTAAAATTAGATTCTTATTACTACTTACAGTAGTAATAAGAATCTAATTTTTACTTAATTATTACTACTTACAGTAGTAATAATTAAGTAAAATTTAGAGAATGAAAGTAAGGGATAGAAAAGAGGGTACCCAAAACTTGATGAGGTATGCTGTTTGTATGAGATCGTGGATGAGATCTCTTGTTGGATTGGTGACTAACTTCACTTTTGTTGCTCTCCAAAATAATAGTTTGAAGGGCTGATGCGTCTTGTTCCTCACAATTAATTTCTTTTTATTTCTCAGTTCCAAGGTTCTTGTCTCTACCATACGATGCTAAACATACTGGGGAGACTCCATTTCGCTCTCTTCTTCAGGTTTCTGCTCCGGAATGACCCACATGTTCGCTCCCCTCCCCTCATGGTTGCATTCCACTTCTTTGTTTCTGGGGTTAGTAATCTACATACCAAAGCAAAGGGTAAAATGAGAACATTCCAGGAAGGGTAGACAAATAGGACAGAAAAAGGAGAAGCAAAGAATATACAATATAAAATAATACAATTATATACAAAATATACAATTTAAATATGGTGTGTAGCCACAATTGTCTTGTCTGAATTGTTTACCCACTACAACTATGGCACTACATGTGGATGTGATCGTATTGATTAGCATACAAGACTGAGCTGGAAAAAAGAAAGTAGGTGCCTCAAGCTGTTGATAGTTTAGCTTTGCACATAAATCTGGCTCTGATGAAAACATTTGTTACATTTAATTCACTTTAAGTATTCTATAATATTCTTAAGTTTAAGAGGCTCATTCTGTATATAACTTAATATACAGAATTAAAATCAAATTTCGTTTGGTTTTTATTTTTAAAATTTTCTCTCAGAACAAATGAAAGAATGTCCTGGTTCCCTGTATGATGTCCCACTTCCCAATCCCATACCTGTTCCTAACGTCCAAAAATCATGTACCTCCTCCTCTTCTTCAGCAGAAAATGATTATTTAGGAATGCTTGGTTTCAAGCCCGCTGATGTTGGTATGTTTAATCACAAACCTAATCTTTGATTAAATATTAGAAAATTCTATTTTCTTTTTAATTAAACACCAATTGTATTTTCTAAATAAAATAATGTTTTAAAAGGTTAATTGTATTACATTTATTACAGATAATTTGGAACCTCATAAAAAGCTACTCTTGGGTTTAGATACTCCGAAAGAACTCTTAGATAATCTTAGTAGTTTATCAATTGATAATCCTTCAGATTCTTTGGAAAATTTAACAGGTGAGAGCCAAATTATTTACTTGTTTCATGTGGTAAGGTAATTATTTCCCTAATTGAAGAGCAAAGCCACATTCTAAGAAATTTGGGTTTATGACTCTTCAAATAATTCCAAATTTTTACAAAAATGTTTTTCAAATTATCATTCAGTTTCTGGTTAAGACGACTCATCTTTGTTATTTGTATAGGATCTACTTTATATGTGAGGAGATCATGACCTTGTTCTCTTGTTTTATTAACAAAGGAATTGCTTATGATGATCTTTAAAACAAAAGAAGCAGAATAACTGTAACATTCCTTGATTATTCCGCTTCTTTCATTCTGAAGAAGACTATCATGAGCAATTTGGGTTTATTTTAACCTCATAATTTATTATAGCTAATTCATATTAGGACATTATTTTTCATCTGTCATCTATGTTGGTTGGCTCCTATTACAACTCAACCTTAATCTTGAGTTATAAAAGTAGCACACAAATTTATTGAGAGCATAACCATGGCACAAACTCATTTAGTGAATAGTCTCAATTAACAAGTTTGTACCATGTAATAGCCTTAGCATATTTGTGATACTGTTCAAATAACTGTAGACTGAAAGTGAGATCAGTCATGTAATATACAGGAAAAAATACCATTAAAATGCCAAAAATATTCAAAGTATTTTATCCAGAATAAAAATCCTGACTCCTTCAACATTTTTAATATTTTTATGGTTTTTTTTTTCTAATAATGTATAAATATTTTGAGTCATTTGATTCAAAGGTAATGCCTTGTAATGTGCAATGTACTGGTAACAGTTGTTTTCTAATGCTTTGTTTTTGCAAAATCAGTTAACACATAAAAATAAAATGCAGCAATGAAAGATATGTATATTTTTTCAATAATTTAACAGTTTTATAAAAAAAATGTACTGTATCATATTATTATATATCTATTTGCTTTAATATATTTTATCAGATAAATAAAATAATAACTTTCAGCTAATTCCAAGTCATGATATGCAAATTTATATGAGAATTTTATAAAATTCAGAAAAGAAAAAATTTATTTATTAAATTTCAGTATACGATAGAAGAATCTCATATAAAAGTAAATGATTTTTTCCATAAAAATTTATAATTAACTTGTAAAATTATCTTTTATTAGATAATGTTCAAGAGGAAAAGTTAGAGGATTATACAATAAAAGAGAACGTTCTGTCGGAGAGTCAACAAGAATTAGCGAAAATTTTAGAATCTTACAAATATGGCAAACCATTATCTGAAGTAATAAATCATTACAATAGCTGGAGAAACAAGTATGAAGATTCTTTGGATGAAACTAAGGTTTGTATATTATTTTTAATGTTTTAATTTTTTTTTTTTTATTTGGCTCTTTCTACCCTATGGAACACTAAGAGGTCCTTAGCAAGCAAGCCCATTATGGGTTTGGTCAAGCCCAAAATGGGGCAACCAGTAGTGAAGGGTGGGCCAAACATATCTGGATTGATCCCTAAAAAATTCTTAGGGTTTTTCAGCCCATCTGGATTCGATCCTGGGTTCTCTAGAGCAGTAGGATGCACCTTAGTTGCTCAGCGTATTGATAATGTCTTTCAAAAGTAAAAAGTTTAAAGCAAAATTTATAATTGTTTTTGTTTATTGATTAAAATATAATTATGTTCAATAAGGGGATGTGCATAAATTATGTATCGCAGATGTGAATGGGNAGGCTGTGGCCGTCGGCCATAATATTGTATAAAATATATTAATTTTAGTTAGTTTTAAGTTTCTTTGTTCCTTTATTTCTTACTTTTCTAGAAACTTCCCTTTCAACCTTTTTCCCTTGGGTGGGATTAACAATTCCAAGAATTGGGAGTGAAACAAAGGGTGAAGTGGGACCCTAAGGCAAAAAAGAATAAAGGAAGGACAGTCTCGGTCAAGCTCTCGAGTAGACCTGACGAGAGAAGGTAGTGCTCTGGATCGCTTGTAGGACGATCGGAGACTACGAGGCTGAGAGGAGAGATCTGATTTCGAAGTTCGCAGAATAAGGACGGAGAAGTGGCATAGCTCCAGATTGAGTGTAAAACAATTGGAAGCTACGAGGAGCCAGCGAATCGATAGCAAGAAACTCCAACAATAGAACTTTAGAGAAGCCATCGAGAGAGTCGTGCGAAAAGACATAAAGGAAAGACGAGAGACAACGTTCCTTGGAAAGGTCCACGTGGTATTCCACCCAAGGTTTCGAACTCAAAATCCCGGGTATTTCCATCTCCCTCTTATACTTTATATTTTTCTACTCCCTTCTTCCCCTTTTTAGTCGTAAGTAGTGTAAGAATTAGTTATAAGTTTTGCCTCGCGTATAGTCATAACTCTCAATTAATCCGCTGTTTGTTAGATCGAGTTTAACGTCTGTACGTACGGATAATTGTATTGTTGGGATCTGAAGATAAACGAACCTGTTCGAAGCGACAATAAATATCATTGTGTTAAAAAGATATCTAACGTGTATTTATTTTGTACATCTCCGCTCGCGGGACATTGTACTCGTCGCAACGAAACACCACAAGGCTATCATGAGCAATTTGGGTTTATTTTAACCTCATAATTTATTATAGCTAATTCATATTAGGACATTATTTTTCATCTGTCATCTATGTTGGTTGGCTCCTATTACAATTCAACCTTAATCTTGAGTTATAAAAGTAGCACACAAATATATTGAGANTCCGCTCGCGGGACATTGTACTCGTCGCAACGAAACACCACAATGGCGTCCGCGACAGGATCCCAACTGTAAAAGGCTGTACGGGTCGTCGTTTTGTATAGTGTGCTAATTCGTAAAGTGTACCAGTGTGTAATTTGTGTACCCCGGTGGAGTCTCCTCTGTTTTTTGTGTTTAGATAATTTATTGGTAATGGCTACTAATAATGTAGTGGGTAGTTCTGCAAACTCGGGAGAGAATATTCATCCCAACCAACCACTTGTCGTGACGGGCTTTCTTGGGATGATTCCCACGTTCTCCGGATCCCAAAATGATAGTGTGAATATTAACCAATTCTTTCAGACAATAGAAACCATAGCGTGGCTCGCAAATTGGGATGACGAGGTTAAGATGGCTGTGCTGCAGGCAAGGCTAAAAGGAGAACCTCTAACGACCTTTCTTTGTTTGTTAGAGCAATATCCTGGGTCATATTGTGAGATAAAGAGGGATCTAATAAAATGCTTTGATAAGAGAGGGGTTAGAGATAGGGATATCATAGATCAATTGTTAACCCTGAAGCAAGGGGGGGATGAATCAGTGACAGACTTTTCGATCCGCACTAGAACTTTGCTCGCCCGTGCTACGAAGGATAACGACAAAATTAACCTAATGCGGGATGACATGATCCTTGATCGGTTTATCAAAGGGCTGAAGGGGAATACAAGGGTGAATGTGATGAGAAGGGCCCCGAAGACGTTGGACGAGGCTTTTGGTGTTGCTGAGGCGGAGGAATTGATCGAAATCGAATGCAGTGGCCGATTCGATCGGAGGGTGGTCAACGCAGCGATTGAGGAGAATGTAGAGGTCATGGTCGGGGAGCGTGAGGTCAGGAGGGCAGAGAAGGAAAAAGGTGACGAGAAAATAGTAGAATTAGAAAGAAGGATCGAGACCTTGACTAAGGCAATGGACAAGTTATTAGAAGAGAAGGAACAAGAACCGAAAGGGGACAGTAAGAGATGCTATGCTTGCGGGGAGATGGGACACTTCGCTAGAAGGTGCCCAAAGCGGACAAATGTTCGTTTAAACTGAGTAAGGAGCGTATTAAGGGCCAGCATAACGCTCCTCATGTGTCAGTCAGTCTGGCCAACGAGATAACAATATCGAGGAAGGGTCTTCCGTTTGTCAAAGCCGAGATGGAAGGCATTAAGTTTTCATTCTTGATCGATACGGGCGCTGAAAAATCAATAATAGATTTAAGGTCCATAAATAGAATCCCGAGGGAAATGGTAATTAAAGCCATACCGGAAGATGAGAGTGTTGGTATAAGAGGAATCAACGGAAGTATCACTAAATGTGAGAAGAGCCTAAGGATAGGATTCAGATATAAAGGTCAGATAGGGGAAGTATCGGTTGCATGCATGCGACTCCCTGATCACATGGGATATGACGGCATACTGGGGATGGACGTTGTAAACAGATTGCCTGAGATTATTGAAGGGGTTAGCACATCGGTAAAACGAAGTTCAGCTCACGGGACCCAATATATATACCATCACGATGAATGTTTGGATGTAGCCCCCATCGAGGTTAAGGGTTTAGATAGCTTAAGTTCGGAAGAGAAGGAGCTCGTTTATAAAATCTTTAGGAAATACCCCGGATGCTTCGCGAGTTCGGTTGAAGATCTAACGGGAATGACGGGCGAGCTACATAGTCCAATCGTGGACCAAACTAAGCCCGTAAGTACTCGCCAATACCGAATCCCTGAGTGCTACCTACCCAGACTAAAAGAATTAACTAAATCTTACCTAAGAGCAGGTATTATAGAAGAAAGCTCCTCGGCATGGAACTCGCCGATTCATATTGTTGAAAAGCAGAGTGGGGAAATCCGCATGACTCTAGATCTAAGACGCATTAATGACCTAACCGCCCCCCAAGAATTCCCTATATCCCGTATAGATGAAATTTTGAGTAAGTTTCACGGGAGCAAGTATTTCTCGGTCTTGGACCTGAAGTCCGGTTACTTTCAAATAGCATTAGACCCCTCTGTGAGACATGTTTACGCGTTCTCAACCCCATGGGGAAAGTTTCAGATGTGTCGCCTCCCACAAGGGGCCAAGAACAGCGGCCGTTTTTTTCAGGCTGTGATGTCCAGAGTGTTAGCCCGGTTCGTAGGAATTAATTGCTATATATTCCAGGATGACATTGTTTTATTTTCTAAGTCATTGAGCGATCATATAACCTTACTAGACGAAGTTATAGGTATTCTGCACAGCAAGAACCTCAAACTACACCCCACGAAAAGTCGTTTTATTTGTGGTGAAGTCAAATATCTCGGTCACGTTATTAACAAAAAGGGAGTACTTCCCGATGATGATAACGTGAAGGCCATTCGTGAAGTAAAGCAGCCAGCTGATATAAAAGGGGTGCGGAGCTTTTTAGGTATGGTTGGTTATTTTAGGAGTTTTATACCTAGGTTTTCCGACCTTGCACTGCCCCTCACTAATTTAACCAGGAAGAACAAGAGATTTGCATGGGACGCGGCATGCAGAGATAGCTTTGAAGAATTCAAAAACATACTGTCTAGACCCCCTTTACTACGCCATCCCGATTTTAGCTCCCCTTTTCACCTGTATACGGACGCGTCGGAAAAATGCGCTGGTGCAATGTTGGGTCAACTGAAGGATGAGGGTCTTTGCCCAGTGGGGTATTTCAGCCGACGGTTTAGTAGAGCAGAGGAAAATTATTCGACAGTCGAAAAAGAATGCTTGGCGATGGTGCTGTCATTGCGACATTTTAAGCCGCTAGTTTTGGGTCACCCCATTGAATTGCATACCGATCATAAACCGTTAATTTTTATAAAGAATATGAAAAATCATAACAAGAGACTTATGAGGTGGTCAACAGAGTTAGCCGATTATAATATAAGGATAACACACGTGAAGGGTCGGCATAATGATGTTGCAGACACGTTATCGCGCATGAGTCGCGATCAAAAGGAATGTAATGATAAGCTGTGCTGTACTATAATAGAGAATAGAAAACTTTGGGAGAAAATAGTCGAATCTCAATCTAAGGACGAATTCTTTAGGCGTATGCGTAATAATCGGGAGTTGCAGCGACAGCGACCATGCGAGATAATCGGGGGTATTCAACCCGAATTCACACTGGAGGATGATGTGTTAATGCATGTGAAACCGGGAAGGATGGGACTCGGGAATAGAATACGCGTTTGCGTGGGAGAGGAAGCGGCGGATCATGTAATTTGGTCGATCCACAGTTCCCCAATGTCAGGTCATCTTGGTGCTGAAAAGACATACGACTTGGTTGATAAATATTATTATATCAGAGACATAAAAGGTCGTATTAAGCGAATAATCAAGGGCTGCGAAACGTGTCAAAAGCACAATCTGCATAGGGGGCGAGCCCCATTCCAGGAGACGGAAACTGCGGAATTCCCATTTCAAAAGGTCGCAATCGATATCATCGGCCCACTCCCAATATCTAAAAAAGGTAACAAGTATATCTTCACGATCATTGACCTCTTTACACGTTATGCCGAGGCAATCCCCATCCCCAATCAATCAGCCCAAGTCATAGCTGAAGCCATATTTGAAAAATTTATATGCCGTTATGGGTGTCCCGATGTAATCGTATCTGATCGGGGGGCAAATTTTACATCGAGTATTTTCAAAGAGGTATGTGATGCACTTTCAATAAAGCGAAACATAACTACTGCATACCGCCCATGCTCCAACTCTGTGTGTGAGCGATTTAATAAAACCATATGCGGAATCATCGCACGCATATCAAGAGGGGGTGAACATGATTGGGATGAGTTTGTCAATCAAGCACTCTTTGCTTATAATAACTCCACCCACTCTGCGACGAACGAGTCCCCGGCGTTCTTACTTTACGGTCTCGATCCACGTTTCCCTAGTGCATTTCCGGGCGAGTTCCCGATTTACGATGACGACAGGAATCAGGGTTGGATGTTTGTAAAAAAATTAAATGTGATAAGGGATGCGGCATATAAGTTAGGAAGGCAGCGTAATAAACAAAATAGGGAAAGGATAAATAAGGATAGAAAGCGCGAGACATGGGAGGAAGGCCAGAGGGTCTGGCTTTTGCGTAAAGGAAAGAGAAAAGGTATAGGAAAATTCTCACCTAAATATTTGGGACCTTATAGGATAACCCGTGTTTTTGGGCCCGTCACGGTGGAATTGGTGGGCAACAGGAAGGGAGACAAATTAATCGTGCATACAGATCGTATCAAAAAATGCTACTCCCCGATTTATAAGGAACATAGAAGACGTGTTCGGCAACCCCTCCAGAAAGAAGACACAGATAATGAATTAGACGGTGTGGAGGATGAAGAAGGGGATGATCATATAAGGATGTGGACCCACCTAAGAAATGCAGTACCTGATTCGTCTGCAACCCAAATAAGAAGAGACGAGGACAATGAAGCAAAAAAAAATAATATAACCGGGGATAACGTCGAAACACAATCCCGATATAATTTGCGGAGGAAGCGGATAAACTACCATAAGTTACATCATGGTGTTTAACTCTAAAGGAGGGGGCATATGTGGCCGTCAGCCATAATATTGTATAAAATATATTAATTTTAGTTAGTCCTAAGTTTCTTTGTTCCTTTATTTCTTACTTTTCTAGAAACTTCCCTTTCAACCTTTTTCCCTTGGGTGGGATTAACAATCCCAAGAATTGGGAGTGAAACAAAGGGTGAAGTGGAACCCTAAGGCAAAAAAGAATAAAGGAAGGACAGTCTCGGTCAAGCTCTCGAGTAGACCTGACGAGAGAAGGTAGTGCTCTGGATCGCTTGTAGGACGATCGGAGACTATGAGGCTGAGAGGAGAGATCTGATTTCGAAGTTCGCAGAATAAGGACGGAGAAGTGGCATAGCTCCAGATTGAGTGTAAAACAATTGGAAGCTACGAGGAGCCAGCGAATCGATAGCAAGAAACTCCAACAATAGAACTTTAGAGAAGCCATCGAGAGAGTCGTGCGAAAAGACATAAAGGAAAGACGAGAGACAACGTTCCTTGGAAAGGTCCACGTGGTATTCCACCCAAGGTTTCGAACTCAAAATCCCGGGTATTTCCATCTCCCTCTTATACTTTATATTTTTCTACTCCCTTCTTCCCCTTTTTAGTCGTAAGTAGTGTAAGAATTAGTTATAAGTTTTGCCTCGCGTATAGTCATAACTCTCAATTAATCCGCTGTTTGTTAGATCGAGTTTAACGTCTGTACGTACGGATAATTGTATTGTTGGGATCTGAAGATAAACGAACCTGTTCGAAGCGACAATAAATATCATTGTGTTAAAAAGATATCTAACGTGTATTTATTTTGTACATCTCCGCTCGCGGGACATTGTACTCGTCGCAACGAAACACCACAAGGCTATCATGAGCAATTTGGGTTTATTTTAACCTCATAATTTATTATAGCTAATTCATATTAGGACATTATTTTTCATCTGTCATCTATGTTGGTTGGCTCCTATTACAACTCAACCTTAATCTTGAGTTATAAAAGTAGCACACAAATTTATTGAGAGCATAACCATGGCACAAACTCATTTAGTGAATAGTCTCAATTAACAAGTTTGTACCATGTAATAGCCTTAGCATATTTGTGATACTGTTCAAATAACTGTAGACTGAAAGTGAGATCAGTCATGTAATATACAGGAAAAAATACCATTAAAATGCCAAAAATATTCAAAGTATTTTATCCAGAATAAAAATCCTGACTCCTTCAACATTTTTAATATTTTTATGGTTTTTTTTTTCTAATAATGTATAAATATTTTGAGTCATTTGATTCAAAGGTAATGCCTTGTAATGTGCAATGTACTGGTAACAGTTGTTTTCTAATGCTTTGTTTTTGCAAAATCAGTTAACACATAAAAATAAAATGCAGCAATGAAAGATATGTATATTTTTTCAATAATTTAACAGTTTTATAAAAAAAATGTACTGTATCATATTATTATATATCTATTTGCTTTAATATATTTTATCAGATAAATAAAATAATAACTTTCAGCTAATTCCAAGTCATGATATGCAAATTTATATGAGAATTTTATAAAATTCAGAAAAGAAAAAATTTATTTATTAAATTTCAGTATACGATAGAAGAATCTCATATAAAAGTAAATGTTTTTTTCCATAAAAATTTATAATTAACTTGTAAAATTATCTGTTATTAGATAATGTTCAAGAGGAAAAGTTAGAGGATTATACAATAAAAGAGAACGTTCTGTCGGAGAGTCAACAAGAATTAGCGAAAATTTTAGAATCTTACAAATATGGCAAACCATTATCTGAAGTAATAAATCATTACAATAGCTGGAGAAACAAGTATGAAGATTCTTTGGATGAAACTAAGGTTTGTATATTATTTTTAATGTTTTAATTTTTTTTTTTTTATTTGGCTCTTTCTACCCTATGGAACACTAAGAGGTCCTTAGCAAGCAAGCCCATTATGGGTTTGGTCAAGCCCAAAATGGGGCAACCAGTAGTGAAGGGTGGGCCAAACATATCTGGATTGATCCCTAAAAAATTCTTAGGGTTTTTCAGCCCATCTGGATTCGATCCTGGGTTCTCTAGAGCAGTAGGATGCACCTTAGTTGCTCAGCGTATTGATAATGTCTTTCAAAAGTAAAAAGTTTAAAGCAAAATTTATAATTGTTTTTGTTTATTGATTAAAATATAATTATGTTCAATAAGGGGATGTGCATAAATTATGTATCGCAGATGTGAATGGGTGGGTATGCAGGTAATCATTACAATGTGTTACAAGGAGATGGAGGTGTTTACAGAAGCATTACATAAGGCTAGAGTCTTTAAATTGAGTGATGTTATTTGTTAAATATGTAGCGATACTAGTAGTTTTTTTCACCAAATGGCAACAACTCAGATAAGGCTATAATTTTCATTGTAATTTTCCAAAAGAAAAATAGTGTTACATAGCAAACCATACTGTTTGTCACTTCTTTGTATGTTATACATATAGCTAATAAAATAATGTAATGTTTACTACCCCTGTGCTATGCTTTATTTTTTAGTACAGGTAAGGGGTTTTTTTTTACTCTTTTCGCCCTGTGGGCACTAAGAGGGCCTCTTTTTGCAAGCCCATTATGGGTTCGGCCAGGCTCACAATGGGGCTGCCGGGTGGTGAGGGATGGGGACCGACATATCCGAACGGACCACTCCCCAAAAAATTCCTGGGGATTTTTCGACCCGTTCGGATTTAAGCCCGGGTCTCCCCGAGCGGTAGGCTGCCACCTTGACCGCTTGGCCATCCGGCCACAGGTAAGGAGTTGATTGATGATATGCATTATGTAATTTTTGGGGGTGGGTATGTATGACAGTGTTAAGGAGCATTACAGAAGGTGGGATGGTAGTTGAAAATATAAAAATAGTGTTACATAATTGATGGGTGATCCTAAATAACATTATAACTATAATTCCAATGGTAAGATATTGTATTTAATTTCCATAAAGTTTAAACAACATTTCAATTATTTATTTATAAATTTGTTTATACAAAAACTAAATAAATTCATCATAAATGGTAATGTTTGTAGAATTTTTTTTTCTCATAATTCATAATTCTGTAAATTGTTATAATTAATGTATAGTAACTTCCTTAATGAAATGAAGGATTTATCTGAAAGTGAATAGGATCAAATCTTATTTACCCTAATTAAAATTTTCTAAATTAATATATAAACTGAACTGAAAAGTGTTATATATGAAGTATATTTTGTATAATAAATCAATTTTAATTCCATATTTAAAAGACTTAATTTGCTTTTGCATGGACTCTTGATTATTATTTCTACATTTTATACTAAGTTTTTATTTTGCTATAGTTTTATTAAATATCAAACTGTTCACATTCAATGGTAATATTAACTTGCTCCACTTTTTTTTGCAATACGAGTTCTCATTACAAGACACAACTGTAAAGTCAAATAATACTGAATTTTGAAATCTGATGCCAATGCCATGTCACATTGATGGCTGATCAGATTTCAGCCATAAATTGCAATGATAAATTCTTAACTCCAGAATGGCTAATGATCTTTACTCCATACTGGAGTTGGATAATAAATTGGTCTTTGTTTGAGAATTAATATATTTAAATTTGAATAATTTAATTACATTCAAAGTATGCCAATAGCACTCTTATATTGAATCCATTTTTTAAATTTATGTATTCCTCGTAATTACAATAGAATAACTTCTGAATTAAATATCTTTTTTTAATTAAATTATTTTTAATTTCAGGTATAATTAATGATTAATTTTGAATTTGAGTACATGATTTAGTTATAATTTATGATTTGTAGATAATTTATAATAGTTATATTTTCCAAGTATGAAATGTTAACAAATATGAGTTTATTCAAGATATAAACTTCTGTGATATTGAATATCATGAAATTATAATTTTGCAGTTTCTTTTTCATAAATATTTCTCAATTACATAACTTAATGAAAATGCATTTTCTGTATTATCACTAGATTCAAAATCAAATTATAAATCAAATGTGTTTGAGTAGTTTTAAATTACATTACGTATTTTTAAGTTTTATCTTAAGGTAGCTCCACACATTCTGTATTCACTGAAATGCTGAACAAATCTTTGATCAATACCAAGTAGTATGGATGATTTACTGTGAGTTCATTCAACAAATATTTATTATTTGGCATTTCTCATTTCTGGAGTATATTATGCCAAATCAAAGGGAATGAATGTCAATGTTGGAATATCAATCAAAGGAAATGAAACTCAGTGTTGACCATCATTGGGCAGATTTGTTTGCTCAGCATTTAGCAAATACCAAATCTGAGGAGCTTCCTTTACTTTCTCTTTGTCTTAATTTTGCCATGTCTGTTCATTAGCTGTGAATGTTCAAGCACCAATGCATAAAGTGACAGAAATTATGATAATGAAATCAACAATGAACTGGAAGTCATGTTATCAGTCATTTCTAGTTTAACGACTAGGTATCATAGAAAATTGCAGGAACACGAGTTTGTTGCTACAAAAAGAATAAACAAGAAATAACCAAATAATTTTTCCTTCTTTTTAACAGTTGCCTATATTATTATTTGTTTTTAATGCACTGCTTGTGTTAGTCAAGATGACAAGATGATTTGATATCTATCCAAATTAAAACATGCAGACTGGGTATTGGAATATTGCCTAGGGCAGACTGATACTAGAATCATTGGTTAACATCAAAAGAGATGATTAATGGAACTAGTTGTCATTGCTGATTTCTTAATTTTCTACCATGTGTACTTGCCTAAAATGTTATCTAGTTAATTTTGAAGATGATTAGTTGAACTTGAAAATGCTGAGACTAACTGGAGAACAGTAAAATCTATTGTGTTCAAATGGCAAAATTAAGGTAACAATAAGCACCAACAATCTCTTGACAAACTTGACTAATCTTTATCAATTATCAGTCAAAAGATTCAGTTAAAGTATTTATTTTGTATTTAATGAATTTTCATCAACTTGTCAGCTATATTATTTGCTGTAAAAACATGTATACATACGTGTTATTATTCATTGTATCGACGAAAGCCTTGATGTCCGGTATTTCTTTCCATATGATAATATCGTCAACATATCTCTTATATAAAATGATGTTGTGAAGGTGGTATGGGAGGACCTTAGCTTCGAGTAGTCTAACCACCATCTCGCATAAGTCACCAGAGATCGGACTACCCATAGGAACTCCTCTTCCTTGTGTGTACACGATATCTTTGAATTGGAAAAAGGAATTGTAACACAATAGATAGGCCATCTCAAGAATTTGCTGGTGTACCGTATTATCATTGAGGATAGAGAGTAGTAAATCTCTGATGGCACAAAAGGCAGGCGGAAGTAGGATACGTTGTACAAAGGGATATGGTTGACAAACTACAAGCTAGAGTTAAGTTCTTCGCAAACACTAAACTGGCTAAGAGACTGGAAATGAGAAATGTTATAGTTGATGCGCCTGATACGCCGAAGTTGTTTGCCTTCGCAAAAATCCACAAAGTAGGACAGCAGCTTCACCCTGTTATAGATAAGGCCAGAGCACTGACACAAAAAATAGAGAAGTTCGTCGACAAGCTTATCACGCCGTACCTGGAGGATTATCCGTACATGCTGAGTGACCCTGTGGACCTAATAGATACTCTCAAGAAGATCACCGTACCACCTAAGTTTCTGACAGTATTGGATTTCAAGTCGCTTTTTCCATCAATCCTACTCCCACCAGCCTTTTGCGCCATCAGAGATTTACTACTCTCTATCCTCAACGATAATACGGTACACCAGCAAATTCTTGAGATGGCCCATCTATTGTGTTACAATTCCTTCTTCCAATTCAAAGATATCGTGTACACGCAAGGAAGAGGAGTCCCTATGGTTAGTCCGATCTCTGGTGACTTATGCAAGATGGTTAGACTACTTGAAGCTAAGATCCTCCCACACCACCTTTACAACATCATTTTATATAAGAGATATGTTGATGATAATATCATATTATGGAAAGAAATACCGGACATCAAGGCTTTTGTCGATACAATGAATAATAACACGTATGGATTAACCATAGAAATAGAACAAGTGCACCAGACGAATGTACAGTTCGTAGATATTGACATCAAGGTAGAAGGGTCAGTAATCCACACGGCGGTGTACCGGAAGTTAGGAACAAAAGGCATATACATGTATACATACGAGGAATAAGGAAACAATACTAATGCTTTTTTTTTTATTAATATATCAAAGTGTTGAATATAATGAGTTTTATTTTAAGAAACAGCAGTCATTTTTATATAATTGAAATATTTCTTATTTTGATATGTTTTTCAGTAGGAANGATGCACTTTCAATAAAGCGAAACATAACTACTGCATACCGCCCATGCTCCAACTCTGTGTGTGAGCGATTTAATAAAACCATATGCGGGATCATTGCACGCATATCAAGAGGGGGTGAGCATGATTGGGATGAGTTTGTCAACCAAGCACTCTTTGCTTATAATAACTCCACTCACTCTGCGACGAACGAGTCCCCGGCGTTCTTACTTTATGGTCTCGATCCACGCTTTCCTAGCGCATTTCCGGGCGAGTTCTCGATTTACAATGATGACAGAAATCAGGGTTGGATGTTTATAAAAAAATTAAATATGATAAGAGATGCGGCATATAAATTAGGAAGGCAGCGTAATAAGAGAAATAGGGAAAGGATAAATAAGGATAGAAAGCGCGAGACATGGGAGGAAGGCCAGAGGGTGTGGCTTTTGCGTAAAGGAAAGAGAAAAGGTATAGGAAAATTCTCACCGAAATATTTGGGACCTTACAGGATAACCCGTGTTTTTGGGCCCGTCACGGTGGAGTTGGTGGGCAACAGGAAGGGAGACAAATTAATCGTGCATACTGATCGTATCAAAAAATGCTACTCCCCGATTTTTAAGGAACATAGAAAACGTGTTCGGCAACCCCTCCAGAAAGAAGACGCAGATAATGAATTAGACGGTATGGAGGATGAAGAAGGCGATGATCATATAAGGATGTGGGCTCAACTAAGAAATGCAGCACCTGATTCGTCTGCAACCCAAATAAGAAGAGACGAGGACAATGAAGCGAAAAAAAAGGATGATATAATCGAGGATAACGTCGATACACAATCCCGATATAATTTGCGGAGGAAGCGGATAAACTACCATAAGTTACATCATGGTGTTTAACTCTAAAGGAGGGGGCATATGTGGCCGTCGGCCATAATATTGTATAAAATATATTAATTTTAGTTAGTTTTAAGTTTCTTTGTTCCTTTATTTCTGACTTTTCTAGAACCTTCCTTTCCAACCTTTTCCCTTGGGTGGGATTAACAATCCCAAGAAATGGGAATGGAACAAAGGGTGAAGTGGGACCCTAAGGCAAAAAAGAACAAAGGAAAGAGCAGTCGAGGTGGAACTCTCGAGGAGGACTGACGAGAGAAGGTAGTGCTCTGGATCGCGTGTGAGACGATCGGAGACTACGAAGCTAAAGGAGAAGTCTGGGCTCGAAGTCCGTAGAATAAGGACGGAGAAGTGGTGCAGCGTCAGATTNAATCTCTTGACAAACTTGACTAATCTTTATCAATTATCAGTCAAAAGATTCAGTTAAAGTATTTATTTTGTATTTAATGAATTTTCATCAACTTGTCAGCTATATTATTTGCTGTAAAAACATGTATACATACGTGTTATTATTCATTGTATCGACGAAAGCCTTGATGTCCGGTATTTCTTTCCATATGATAATATCGTCAACATATCTCTTATATAAAATGATGTTGTGAAGGTGGTATGGGAGGACCTTAGCTTCGAGTAGTCTAACCACCATCTCGCATAAGTCACCAGAGATCGGACTACCCATAGGAACTCCTCTTCCTTGTGTGTACACGATATCTTTGAATTGGAAAAAGGAATTGTAACACAATAGATAGGCCATCTCAAGAATTTGCTGGTGTACCGTATTATCATTGAGGATAGAGAGTAGTAAATCTCTGATGGCACAAAAGGCAGGCGGAAGTAGGATACGTTGTACAAAGGGATATGGTTGACAAACTACAAGCTAGAGTTAAGTTCTTCGCAAACACTAAACTGGCTAAGAGACTGGAAATGAGAAATGTTATAGTTGATGCGCCTGATACGCCGAAGTTGTTTGCCTTCGCAAAAATCCACAAAGTAGGACAGCAGCTTCACCCTGTTATAGATAAGGCCAGAGCACTGACACAAAAAATAGAGAAGTTCGTCGACAAGCTTATCACGCCGTACCTGGAGGATTATCCGTACATGCTGAGTGACCCTGTGGACCTAATAGATACTCTCAAGAAGATCACCGTACCACCTAAGTTTCTGACAGTATTGGATTTCAAGTCGCTTTTTCCATCAATCCTACTCCCACCAGCCTTTTGCGCCATCAGAGATTTACTACTCTCTATCCTCAACGATAATACGGTACACCAGCAAATTCTTGAGATGGCCCATCTATTGTATTACAATTCCTTCTTCCAATTCAAAGATATCGTGTACACGCAAGGAAGAGGAGTCCCTATGGTTAGTCCGATCTCTGGTGACTTATGCAAGATGGTTAGACTACTTGAAGCTAAGATCCTCCCACACCACCTTTACAACATCATTTTATATAAGAGATATGTTGATGATGATATCATATTATGGAAAGAAATACCGGACATCAAGGCTTTTGTCGATACAATGAATAATAACACGTATGGATTAACCATAGAAATAGAACAAGTGCACCAGACGAATGTACAGTTCGTAGATATTGACATCAAGGTAGAAGGGTCAGTAATCCACACGGCGGTGTACCGGAAGTTAGGAACAAAAGGCATATACATGTATACATACGAGGAATAAGGAAACAATACTAATGCTTTTTTTTTTATTAATATATCAAAGTGTTGAATATAATGAGTTTTATTTTAAGAAACAGCAGTCATTTTTATATAATTGAAATATTTCTTATTTTGATATGTTTTTCAGTAGGAAGAAGGATTATTGATGATGAATTTTCTTCATTTTAATATTAATAAAATATGAAATAAACTGTTTCTTTAGGAATGTTGGAGAAAATTATATAAGGAATCGCAAAAATCAAAACAGATGAAGAAATCGCGTGGATTTTCTGAATTAAGGCAGTTAATATCTAATGTTTTAGGTAAAAAGGATAGAAAAGTGAAGGTTAGTTTTTATTGGTATTTATTGAGATGTTTATATCATTAGTATTATAAATAATTATATAATATAAGTGTTGTGTAATAAATTATTTTATTATATTATTATAATAACTTGGTGATGAAGAGCTTGGTGTATTTAGATCAAATTACCCATGAAAATTTCTGGATATTCAGCTTTAACTCAAATCTGGGTTCTTCAGAATAGCAGGCTGATATCTTTTCTACTTGACATATCTGACTCTCTATATAATAACAACAACCCAATCTGATGGTTAATGGTACCTTAACCACCATTAGTAATCATACTATTTGTGTGATAGTGGCTTAGCATAATTAATAATTCAGCAGTCCATTTGGCATTAATAATCTTGCTATCTTTTTTGTTGATTCATGGAAGTTTAATAATTTAAATGTTACTTTATATATATATATATATATAAATATATTAATTAATCTCTTAATTCTAAGCCATTTTATTGNTTGAAAGTATTGATTTCATTAAACAAATCAATACCGTCAATGTCTGTTTCGTTACTTGAATCGTCTTTAAGCTTCAGATATAAATCCTAACCAAGTTAAAATATCATTAATTATACTTAGACCCATGTCAGAAGAATTATTAACAAAATAATTGCAATTTGATATGCGATAGAACTATTCGAATGCGTACAAGTACAAATTGAGAAGGAAGCTCTGTGGGGATTGTCTATTTTCGCCAGTCCTGTCAACTTCTGTCATAAAGCACGACTATGAGTACTTGGCTTTCGGGTGCCGCCGGATGGTTCAATCTGCCGACAGACGTTTCGCATTGCATCTTTAAATGCCAATAGAGGCGCTGTTAACGCTATAATATAAATAAGAATATAGTAATTGCGCGCCGGTCGGATTTTTTCTCCATGCGAAGACATTTCTTATGCTATAATTAGGGTGGGTATTAAGACAATGACTTTGAATATTACGTGACCAATAGCTCAATTTGCCGCCCCCCCTGGACGTGCCGCCCGCGTGCGGTGCACGCCCGCTTACGGAGGGCCTGCATTCAAAGAATAGTTAGCATGTGTATTTATACTAATGATTCTACTATCACTTTAATTAGAATAGGAATGGACTAAACAAAGGCTTGAAATTCAAAATTAGAAAATGTACTTATTGGATAATTGATTCAAGCTGCTGATTTTCATAAAACCAACAGCTTAAATTAATTTCCATCTCCACTGACTTTAACAGTTGCCAATAAATTTTAATTGTTTAATTTATGTAATTTTTCAGGAAATGTGTAATAAATTAATGTTTTGTATTTAAGCTGTCAGTCTTTGCCTACAATTTTTACCATTTCATTCTATAGCATTTGAATACATTTCATAATTATTTTAATACTGACGTTAATAACTTAAATACCAATTGATATTTAAATTTTAATAGGCTGCAGATTCTTATGCAAGACCGGGGAGAAGTGAAAAATCTGAAGACGACATCTTACGTCCTGTTAGTACTTTAAGTACAATATCTTCAGTTAGCAGTTCCAGTAAGTGTAGTATTTTTTAAAATGTTTATTAAATTTATTATTGAATTATTGGTATTTGATTTAACAGAAGCATGATAGTCATTTGTATCGGACGAGTTATTATTTTATGTAATTGATGCTAATGAAATCAATCATAAGTGGTCTAAATACACTGCTTATATTTATATGTTACCTGTTTAAATTAAATAATAAATAATATAGCTCTGTATTCTTTATTCCCATTCAGTGTAATATTTATATAAATTTATTCCATATAAGAAATTATATAAGCAAACAATATCATTTATAGATTGCGAATACTGTAATTTAAAATAGCAATTAGTATTGTATAACTGTGAGGGGTGACTTCTTTTAAATATTTGAATCACTCAATTAGTGTGATTGAGATGACAAATAATGATCTCATTTTTTTATTTGCTACTCACCACCAAGATTTAAGTGAGAAATGAGAAAGAAAAATGAAGGATTGAGACTAGACGTGGATTGGAATGATATAATCAACCAATAGAAATGTATTAGTCATAGTAATAGAAAAAATGAACTAGTAATGTGTACACAGTGAAAGTAATTCATATACTCATATACTACTAGTTCACATTGGTAATTTATTACTAATGTAGTTGTTATATAGCTTGATGGCATACAGCAGTGGTTGGCTTTATTACAATGTAGTTTACATGTTTTGGGACTTGCTAATTTTGATAACAATAAATAGCTGATAATAATATCTGATTACAATAAGCAGATTTTACTGTATAAACTTGAAAAATATTTTAATAAATTGGCATTAATCTTGAACTTATGTGTTTATATTTTATTATACATTCAAATAGGGGCGCCGCTAGCTGTTTGATCGCCCGTGTGCAATACCGATTATGCTGCCCCCTGTTTAACTACGACTACCTACGCTGAGCTTGCCAGAAAGGCTCTTTAGAATTGTCTCATAAGGGTGTGAAAAAAGAAAAGAAATACTTTACAAAGAAAAACTATTTATTATTACTAAGTTATTTTTGTTTACTTAAGTGTAAAACCATATAAATATTTATCTACAGAAATTGAACTCTTCTTGCCTTTATGTTTGCGAAATCTGCTATCAGTTTTCTTGTATCCAAGCTGTCTAAGATTTCATGTTCAATTGTAACTATAGCAAATTACTTAGTCTTTGCTGGTGCATTGTTGATCTTAAATAGTTTTTATAATTTTTAACTTTGAAAAGGACCTTTCACCAAATGCAACTGAAACCGGAAATGTAAGTTAGTGCTATTCCTGTGTTCGGAAATGTTGAAATTAAATCATTAGTAAAAAGTTATTGTAATAGGGTTTGTAGATCATTAGACTGAATTTCTGGAAATTGCAATTTGAAAGTATTGATTTCATTAAACAAATCAATACCGTCAATGTCTGTTTCGTTACTTGAATCGTCTTTAAGCTTCAGATATAAATCCTAACCAAGTTAAAATATCATTAATTATACTTAGACCCATGTCAGAAGAATTATTAACAAAATAATTGCAATTTGATATGCGATAGAACTATTCGAATGCGTACAAGTACAAATTGAGAAGGAAGCTCTGTGGGGATTGTCTATTTTCGCCAGTCCTGTCAACTTCTGTCATAAAGCACGACTATGAGTACTTGGCTTTCGGGTGCCGCCGGATGGTTCAATCTGCCGACAGACGTTTCGCATTGCATCTTTAAATGCCAATAGAGGCGCTGTTAACGCTATAATATAAATAAGAATATAGTAATTGCGCGCCGGTCGGATTTTTTCTCCATGCGAAGACATTTCTTATGCTATAATTAGGGTGGGTATTAAGACAATGACTTTGAATATTACGTGACCAATAGCTCAATTTGCCGCCCCCCTGGACGTGCCGCCCGCGTGCGGTGCACGCCCGCTTACGGAGGGCCTGCATTCAAAGAATAGTTAGCATGTGTATTTATACTAATGATTCTACTATCACTTTAATTAGAATAGGAATGGACTAAACAAAGGCTTGAAATTCAAAATTAGAAAATGTACTTATTGGATAATTGATTCAAGCTGCTGATTTTCATAAAACCAACAGCTTAAATTAATTTCCATCTCCACTGACTTTAACAGTTGCCAATAAATTTTAATTGTTTAATTTATGTAATTTTTCAGGAAATGTGTAATAAATTAATGTTTTGTATTTAAGCTGTCAGTCTTTGCCTACAATTTTTACCATTTCATTCTATAGCATTTGAATACATTTCATAATTATTTTAATACTGACGTTAATAACTTAAATACCAATTGATATTTAAATTTATAATAGGCTGCAGATTCTTATGCAAGACCGGGGAGAAGTGAAAAATCTGAAGACGACATCTTACGTCCTGTTAGTACTTTAAGTACAATATCTTCAGTTAGCAGTTCCAGTAAGTGTAGTATTTTTTAAAATGTTTATTAAATTTATTATTGAATTATTGGTATTTGATTTAACAGAAGCATGATAGTCATTTGAAAGTAATTGTAAATCATATTTTTTGAAAATTATATTGAGTAAAATATAAATTTAATCTAATAGAATGATTTTTATAATTAAAATAAATCCACAAAAAATCGTTTTATTGAAATCACCAGCATAACAACTTTTGTTTCTTAATGTATTTGAGTCTGTATTCAAGTATTTAAGTCCATATACGAGGGAACAGATTAGAAAATAATTTTTAATTTATTTTTAAAAATTTAGAAAAAACTTTTATTGGTCGTATTTTTTGAGACTGGGATGGGGGGAAAGTGAAGGTGTCCTCACCCCAACCATATTTGATAGTTCAGTGCATTTACACGCACGTACACCAACGTACCGTGATTAAACTTGGTTATGTTTATCAGATTTTGGGGGTAGGGAGAATGTTGGGAGTTGAGCCACCTTCCTAAAACATTATTAAAATGCATTGTTGTCAGACTTAGGTGTCCTCAAAGTTTGTCTTCTTTCTTAATTAAAGAGGGTGAAATTTGATCTGTAACATTATACAAAGAAAGTTAAATAAGATAATTTAGTAAAAAGACAATTATTATAACATTAAATGAAAGATTTTAGAATTTTGAATCAAGGCACAGCAGTTTCAATGTTGTGTTCTAAGAATTAATGTTTGGTAATCTGTTCCTCAGAAAATGGACTTAAGTACCTTTGAAATATTTAGGAAATTGTTATCATATTTTGTAATTCAAAAAGAATAGGGTTTTTTTTATGACTTTCTAAAAAGTTGGGGTATTTTTTTAATTTTATAATTAAAATACTTTTTAATATGATAATATTTTTGATTTTATAATTAGGTTCCTCCTCGAGTGATAGATTTAGTCTAGGAAGCACTTATGACAGTGGAAATCATTCGGACTCCTGTGAAGAAGTAAATCGTTCAAAGGTAATAAAGTAATAAAAGATGTAAACTTGGAGATTTTTCTTGAAAATTCAATTTTGATGTTGTGTAGATGTTTTTAAATGAAAGTGTAACTATTATAATAAACAAATCCATTTACTTCTAACAATTTTTTAATTATTTTCATTATTTTTTTTACTATTATTAATGAAAAGTTATCAAATAATTTTTGAATTTTTTATGAATAATCTTATCAGTAAGTNTCAGGTTCGACTGTATATATTTATAGAAAATTCTATATTTATGTATCGTACACAAATATATTTCGTAGAAAAATTTTGTGTTGTAAATCTTATTGTTTGAATGACAAAATACTAATTGTTAAAGAATTATATTTACATTTTAGCATGTTGTCATGTTAAGTCTAAAGGTTCTCAATGTTGTCATGTCTATATACCATTGCATGCAATAGTACATAATGAATGGAAGAATAGTGATATTTATAATAAGAATATGAGAATTTAATAATTTTGTTGAAGAAAATTAAATTTCATTATGATTTTTAAATGATGAAATTTCAAATTACAAAAATAACTCAATAATTTATTTAGAACTTGTTATCTATCATTTAGGATTCTATGTTAGGAAAAGATTTACAAAATAGTGGTGTATGTAATAAATCACTGTCCGAAAGGCCTCCAGCTCCTCCTCCCCGACCGTCCATCTCTCTCCCGATTGCTAGAAAGAAACCGAATTTGAAGCATACGTACTATGTTTTCCCTCCAGTGCCTACAAGGGATAAAATGGAATCAGTTTCACCTGATTACGTTCAACCAGATATGGACTGTTATCTTCCTGCCAGTAAAATTGATGCTACCATAAATAAAATATCAGGTAAAATTTTAACTATTATCATTATAATATTTATAGAAACTGGAATATCGGTAGTATAGTTCTTAGAAAATAATTGATCATTCTTAAGTAGAGAAAATTATTTTAGAACATTTTATTGTGCAGTCTTTGGCTATACTGAAAAAATTTAATAGGTCATCTAAATAAAGGCCCCATAGCAAGCTATGTCCTAATGGCATAAATACAGGTTTGTGTGGGAAGTGCTAACTGACCAGCACTTGCAGCTTTTTCCTGATTGAGTCCTATGTTCCCTAAATTTCATCACATTGCATGCCTCACACATGTTCTGTACAGAATATGTGAATCTATACAAATAGAATACAGCAAGGCAAACAATGAAAAAAAATCCTATTAACAGTCCCTAGCTACATCGTTGTATGTCAAGAAACAACTTCACTTCCTCTTTTTCCTTTTATACTCATTATAAGATAGGGAACATGGACTAACTGTGCTGTGTAACAAGATGAAGGATTACTCAATGCTCTTGAAGCTATGTTAAAGGGAAAAAGAACTAATGGAAGATCCAGATCTGAAAAGGGAAATGTATGAAGTTCATACTTTTAAATTTTTATTCTGGATAGTGGCATAGCAAACCTATAATAAAAAGGTTTAACAAAACAAAAACAATGGGTTTCTGTAACAGAAACTAGACATAATCACAAAGGAACCTATTTCTGGGTACTTTAATGTAAAATTTTGATGGCAAAACTTTACTCATCATGCAGTTTTACTGTAAATAAATAAATGTGCTAAAAGTTAACACATTTATGCATGTATAAGCTGCACCCCATTTCTGAAACAGTTATGTGGAAAAAAAATAAAAATCTCAAAATTCCATTAAGGAATGGGAGTAGAGATGCAGATATACAGAAATATGGTAACATTGCAAATTCCAAAGGAATAAAGTGATGGTTAATGCTTATTGTTAAGTACCTGCTCAGTGCATGTTAAACATGGGTCGAGTGAGAGTGAGTTACACAGTGAAGTTTAAATTGCAAGTGGTGCATTATGCAGAAGAAAATGGAGTTGAGAAGCAGGAAGAAAGTTTTATGTAGACGAAAAAAACTGTGCAGCGATGGATTCAAACAAAGGACACTCTTGAGAAAACATTACAAAATTGGCCATCGTTTTGCAGAAAGATAGCAAAATATCCTAAGCTGGAAGTAAATCTGTTGAGATATATCCATGAAATTTGGGCAAATGAATTTTTTGTGTCTGTTGAAATGATTCAGTTTGAAAGAATTGCCCAAAATATGAAAATTCCTGAAAATGAACATAAAGGTAGTTACGATTGGGCAAGACATTTCGAGGCATGACATGAGTTCATGATTCAGCATCAAATTTCAATGATGCAGTGGCTTCCTGACACCTACCTAATTTAAAATAGCTTTAAAATTATTCATTATCTCAAGTATAGGCCACACCATAATTTTGGTAAAAAAAAATATAGGATAAAAAAGTTCAGCCTATACACACATAAATATGGTATTACTTTAATTTCATCCTCATTTTCCCTATGTTATGAAATTGTACACCTGTTTAAAAAGATGTTAAAAATATTTAAAATCTTTAAAATGTTGAATCTAAAAATAAAATATCTCTGAATCCACTGGATGAGACCAGTTAGAGAAATGCATTTGGAATATTTGAAAAAAGTTAAAATAAAGGTCTAGTATACATTGTTATTCGGTTTGTTTGCCTTGAAAAATTACTCGAAATCGGATATAAAGTGTATAATTTTAGTCATTAACGGTCTAGAGATATTTTATTTTTAGATTTAACATTTTAAATAAGTTTAATACCAATCCCATTGCTTTTATTTTTGAAAGATTTTTCCCTTAAAAATCCTAAGTTAAGTAGTAATGTTGTATTGTCTAGCATGAATGGTATCATCTAGCTGATTAAATATATAAGCTTTCTATAAAGAATTTGATTGTTAAAATATATAAAAATATATTTTGATATATTAATAATTTCCTTCATTAATCTGACTATTATACTATAATTCCAACTTATATGAAATCACTGTTTATTGTAATGTAATGAGCAAGTTTTGTCAATATTTTACTGCTTTTTTAGTTATGTAATTCTAAAATTTTCAATATCTATTAAAACTATTTAAGAAGTTTAGGTTTAAGAGATTACATCAGTATAATTTGTCTTGAAAATAAGGCATAAAACTTCAGATTATTCTGCCTGGTATGCCAGAAAACAAATACTTTGTATGCCATTTGAGTGTAATATTTCACTTTAAAAAATCGTTATTAAACATTAAAATATTTTAAAATACAATTAAAAAGTTTCTCATTTAGTTAATTGAATTTTTCAACTTGGAGTTGCCTTAATAGATTATTATATTTTAAAAGTTACGTATAACTTTATACATTGTTGAAGTGTTAAGTGAATAAGTTATAAGTAATATCGGTTAATTATATTTAATTTATTAGATTGATAGTGAATAATTATTGATTAATCTAACACTGCTTCATAATTATATAAATAATGTTATAAGTTTATCATATTCTGTTATTATAAAAGCTGTTTTGAAATTTTTGTGTAGGTAAACAGCTTCCTGCAACACCAAAGAAACCATCAAAAAGTATTTTCAATATAGAATCCAATCAACGAGATAGATCATTGAACAAAGTCCTACCTACTGTCTACAAAAGACAGAATGGTAGTTTGTCTTCTCAATCCTCTACAGTGCACGAAGAAGACGAATGCCATTATTATGATATACCTGCAGCACCGGTACCAGTCAACAAGAGTAATACCAAAGATAATCATCATTTGCAGAATGAGGATTCAAATTATGACATTCCTAAATCTTTATCCAAAATGAATCAGCACAGAAGGCAGAGTTCTTCCAACGAGCCAACTTACATAGAGGTATTCGTGTCGGGTGACGATCACCTCGTCAACAACGGAAATTTAGATTACGACATTCCCAAGCCTTTCTGTTACGAGAGGAACTTCAAAAGTAATTCTTTACCTCGACAAACCAATACATATGCAGGAATAATTAACCAAAAGGAAAAAAGTGCACCCAATTATTATAACGTTTTGCCCGTAAACGACGAGCAGTTCGAGAGCATCCCGGATGAACTTCCTCCGCCGCCTCCTTCCGACGAGGACAATGCATATAACGTAATGGTGCCAATATCGTCACCAAATTCTGAAAGACATTTACCGGTAACATCTTTGCCATCTAGAACTCAATTTGATATTAAAAGTAAATAATACAAACAATAGGAAAAATTTATGTAATATACATAATTAGTTTAAATTAATATTTAGGCAATAGCAGTGTTATAAATGGTGATACTGATTGTCCAAGGCCCATTTTGTACTGTTCAGAGTTCATTTTCAGAATATTTTATTATAATTATCATCTCATGTTGCAGTATAACCATTTAAAAAATATTTTGAATAATTATAAGATTAAAAAAGTATTGGGCTTTAATTACTTTTAAAGGTAAAAATTATTTATATTTTAACATAAAATCCATTAAGCATAATTTGAGCTTAATTGGAGAAAATACTATGTTTCAAATGTTTATTTTTAATAAGTTGTTCAGAATGTTGCTGTATTTCATACATAATGAATCCTGTTATTTTAGATTCCATTTTCAAATTACCAAAATCTGGTATGGTAAGTTAAATATAATAGTTAAAGTACTTAGATCAAATGATTAACATTTACAAATAAGAATTTTTGTAAGTAATTTGTAATATTATTTAATGTTATATGCAAAAGATACATTATCTATTGTAAACATTACTGTATGTTTTGAATAAATGTTACAATATAAAAATTATATTTTTGTTGCAGATGTGACTTGTTACTTATCCGGTTCAGAAAGTTATACATAACGAAACTTGATCCATTTTAAATCCCTTTCAAACTCCGAATTTTTGTCAAGGACACCAAAACTGCATAAACCATTTTTAGATTTTAACTCTTCACTTTACAAGTGTTAAGATGACCATTAACTGTGCCCGTCATAGGTTCAGCCAGGGCTAACCTGTGACGGGCTATAATAATGGTGCAACCAAGTGGCAAGGAGCACAACCCAATAGATCTGGGGCAGCACGCTTGTAAATTTTTCTAATTTACCCAAACTCTAGAGCCACAGGTGTCTTTATTGATTTGACTATCTAATCTTGTTTAAAATATTGGTTAATGTAAAATGAATGTTTTGTGACACAGCTAAAGATTTGTTGATGACAGCCTAAAGTGGCAAGAGCATCGGCCTACCACTGAAGGATCTGGGATCAAATCCGGACAGTTAAAAACCCCAGAAAGGTTTTGAGATGGTCTGTCTCAGATACATAGGACCCATTGTGGATCTCACCAACTAATTATGGGTTTGAAAAAGGCCTTTTTTGTGCCTGCAGATGGGAAAGAGTAAAAAAGAAATATATATATATGTACAGCATATATATACAGTTATTATTCTAATAAATTAATTTTTCTCTGTTAGAATATTAAAAAAAAAAGATTTATGATGATTCAATCTTTAAACAGTCCAGATGCTGAAGTTCTTACAGATGAGATGATTGCTGAAACATTTTTAGGGCATATCATTTTGTCCTTAGCATTTTAATTTGTTTTGTGCCTAAAAACAGTTTTTCCTTTAGATTATTTCACAATTCTGAATTTATTCCTCATGATGAAAAAATGATAAACTGCAATTTAGTATAATGGATATTATAATTACTATTAATACTTTTTATGATCTGACCAATTTATACAAGCATTTATAAATTAAATATTGAAAAGATATATTATAAATATTGTAAGAAGACTGCATTGGACTAGATATGGACACATTATAAAGACAAGCAGAAACAGATCACGGAAGACTTAAAAGGAAAGTGGATCACCACTCAGGTAGAAAGATGACATCAGAGTAGACATGGTGGCAATGGAAAGAGATAGTTGAATTGAAGATGGAATGGGCTGGCACAAGATAGAAAGAAGTGGAAGAAACATGTGATCAAGTTTCCCCGAGAATTTAGATATATAAATATTACTTTATGTTGACGACAGCCTGAAGAATCAGTGTACCACTGGAGGACCCAGGATCAAATCCAAGCAGTTAAAAACTCCAGAAATGTTGGTCAGATATGTAGGCCCATTCCTCTCAACCCAGCCACCCCCATTTTGGATCTGGTCAAACTCATAATGGGCTTGAAAAAAAGCCTTTTCAGTATCTGTGGGAAAAGAATAATACAATATATATATATATAGTTTTAATGTAAATTGACCATAATATATCTACAGTATTTTAAATGTTTATACAGTATAATGTTTACACACTATTTTAAGTGTTTTAAATGTTTTTGGGATAAGAATAAAATATCAAAAGCAAACACTTGAGTGCTATTCACCGTGTGATAAAATGATAGAATCCATATTTATATGGATGTGGTCCCAAAAATACAAGGTAGCACAAATCAGTTAATTCTGTTTATTTTTAATGGTTCTTAAAAAAATTTCATCTGTTAAAGCATTGTGACTTGTGTATTGAGGAATTTTTTTTAGTTTTTAAGTGATTAAAAATATTTTAAAAATACTTGCGTAAGGCACTAATTTAGTTTTTACAATGGTTAATTGACTTTTGGGCTACCAGTATATATGTTTCTTGCAGGTTGCAAGCGTTATTAGCAGTTGTATATAAAGGGCATTGATGCCATTAAATTTTCGAGTACGGAAATCGAAGGATGGACATAAACGGGGGAGTCATTTGCCATATCTCGAGTAGGGTCAGACTTAATGAAAATTACAATCGTTATTGGCATTTGCAATATTTTAAAACTCATCTCTACCCTTAAAATTAAGCCCATTTTTTTTGCTGTTTTTAATTAAAATTTTATTAACCTATCAGTGGTTGAGTGAATGAAACCAGTAATATTGTAATACTGGTAGTTGGTGGAGGGTTGGCACCCGACCAACGAGTTGGTCACGCGGAGTTTTCTGCATTTTCTTCGCGAGCACCTAAATAGGGGCCGGTTTCCCGTAGAGATTTTCCTCTGATCTGCCAGGAAAACTTTCTTCTTGGCAGATCACCCATGTGTTGCATTGCTTTAAACCATCAAACCAATGTTTGTTGATATCATACTGTATCACTAGGCAGTATGTCATGGGACGTTATTTTACGGGCAAAAACGGAAATTGCCTGGAGCCCCCATCAACGGGATTCCAAACCAATCTTTTATATACTCATTACTGTAGTAAGGATATTGAAATTTAAATATGGGCCATTCCGGGGATCCTATCTTGCAGGTGTGGCGCAGTTGCAGGATGCGATTGGGCAGCACAGAATGCATTAAAAACAAAAATCCCCATTATAAATTTCCCCGGAGAAAAATGTTTGAAATCAACACTACATGAGACCCCCTAATTCAAATTTGACTGGGCGTCCAGGAAGCTATAATGTGTAGTATTCGTGTGATTGGAGCAGTACGATCCACGAATGAAACGTACAGAAAGGAACCTAAGACAGTTACAATTATAAACACTCTCCTTTATTCAATACGAACAGATTCGGTTTCATCAGGAATCCCAACTATTTTGTGATTTAACTTTACCAACTTTACAATGTGAGGGGTATCAACAGGCAGTGGCGGCCTTAGGGGGTGGCGAGCAGGGCAATCACCCGGGGCCTCGCGCAACAACCAAATAGAAAAAGTTTATATTTAAAACTTTTTATTTTATCCTTGGCTATTAGTTATAACAATAAAATAAATTTAATTTATAGTACAGTATATATTAATAAGTGCCTACTATTTCAATTCACATACTTTGCACAAAGGACAAGGGCCTCGCAAAGATCTGCCGCCCAGAGCCTCGCAATGGATAAGGTCGCCCCTGTCATCAGGAATCTTTCCAGTTTTACAATAAATCACGGTACGAAATCTTACCGGCGCATAACAATTAATATTCTATAGTCGCGTAACTAAAATCTACCTTAATCCTAACTTAAGACTAACTTAATACTAAGGAAATGACAAGGAAGATAGGACAGCGGGAAGGTAGAAGAAAAGAAGAGATAACTTCACCCGGGCCTTTCTTATGTTCTGGTGTCTTTGCGCTTTGGGTAGGACTGTCTCAACGACAGTGGCTCTTGCTTCCACTATGTTCTTAAACACGTCAGTCGTCGGATCTCTAATCCTGAAGATTCCGATCTATCTGGAGGTGTCCGCAAGCCTTACGACCTGATCGTGGATCCTCCTCAGCCCGTCACTCGATTCTCCGTAGAACTTCCTTTGTTCTTCGACACGTCTCGCTCTCCTCGTGTCTCGTCGACGACTTGCCTTTTTCCCTTCTGTTCTCAGCCCGACTAATCCTACCCACTATTGTTCTTTCCGGTTCTAAGAACGGCTAATCTCACCCAAAGGCTATAACAGTCATTTGGAAGGTTCTAGAAGGAACAGACAAAGGAAATAGAAGAAATAGGGAAAGAGAAAGATTGGAATTATACTATATACAATTAAGATACATATGTAGATATGGCCGACGGCCACAAATGTTCCACTGTTAAAAACAATATTTAAGTTTAAAAATCACCATGATACTAGCTGAAAATTAAAATTGTTTGACGCCATCTGTTACGAGACGTTATTAGAAAATAACTTTAACATAAATCCAAAAGGGTCTGTCCTCCTCCTATATACCAATCGCAGTCTATATTCTCTATTTTGATTGAAAAAAAATTCCTCCTCTCTTACAAAACGTTTAAGAAATACTATTTCGTTTTCTTTTCCTAAATTATCTTTCCTGTTAGCACTAAGAGACATTTTTCTACCCTGCAATGGATTTGCCTAGTCTCACAATGGGAAAAAGAGTCAAATGGTGAAGTGTTTGACTCGACAGATCTGGGAAAGATTACCACGAAAACATTCTGAGGTTTCCCAATCCAGACTCGAATCCGAAACCACAGTAGGCTAAGGTCTTTTCTGCCTTGGCCATTGTCGACGATTTAGTCAAAATTAAATACTCAAATCATGATTTCGGACTCAAATCCGGATCCCTCAAAGGAATAATGAACGCCCTAAACACTGTTTTTTTTTTTTTTTTTAAATATTTATTATTTTGCCCTTGGACACCAAAAAGGCCTGTTTTAAAACCCCATCTTGGGTTCGACCGGGTTGGCAATAGAGCGACCACAGACGTAAAAATTCTCGCCGTGTTTAGACCGCCCGGATTCGATCCCGGATCCTCCAGAACGGTCGGCCGACCGCTCTAAACAGCAAGAAAAAAAAATTAAATAAAACGACAAAAGACCATAACATAATTTTAATATTACTCAATTAAATTAATTTGGAAAAATAAAGTTTAAATTATAATTACAAAATAAGAATATTTAAATAATTGCAAAATGAAAAAATATATATAAATATATTTTCACGTTCGACCGAGGAGTGGCGCAGACGTACGTTTTAAAGAATGAAGTGCCGTTGAAAAAATAACAAACAGTAAATTAATAATATTAACGATGTCGAGTTTGGACGTAATCGTGAAGTGGAACGGTAAAGAATACGTCATAGAAAATTTAGACGGCAACGATACGGTCGGCGATTTAAAACAAGTCATACAACAGAAGACTGGTGTCTTGCCCGAAAGACAGAAGCTTTTAGGTTTGAAGTATCAAGGTAAATAATCGTTAATTACTGTTTATTTTAATACTTTTAACGCCTTAAAGCCTTAAAAATGTAAAAAAATAAAGACTCGAGAATAATAATACGTTAAAATTTAATTATTTTGGAGTTTGTTTACATTATTTGACATATCTTGAGTCGAAGTTACTTTTAGGTTAATGTCTGTATATTTATGTATGCATGAATTAACTAAAAGTAACTTCTACCGACGTGTGTTTTGAATGTATCGTTTGATGTTATTTGTTGGTGTGGTTACGCCTCCGAACGAGACCACTGTGATCTTGTCGGAGCTGTAGACCGTACCCGTGGGAGGAAAATAGTCGAGGAAACTGTACCGTACCTCCACGTGTTGCTCTCGGCCGGACGGGGTTCTTTGAAATGGGTCCGCTTTTGGGTTTCGTCGCTCTGCGAAGGCTGTTGCATTTAACTATTTGGTTCGTGTGACTGTGCCGGCTGGCTTTGAATGGCTCCCTTGATGTTATATAGTTTTAGGGGGTGGGAGTTTGCCCCTGCCTGGGTGCTGAGATACGAGCACCGAAGCACGAGACTACGGTCGGAGCATCGAACGATGCGAGCGATAGCAAGTCTTGATTGATGCGGAGCATGGAGAATGGGCAATATTCTGGTTTGCGGTAAAAACTGACCTTTGGAGGTGAATATCTTTGAAGGGCCACATGTTTGGGTATGGTTTCATTAACTGTTTTTGCTTGTATTGAAGGGTCTATAACTCTAGGGGTGGCAAATCCCTCATTTGGAATTTACATCTTACCAAATGTTCTCTACATTGAGAATGTGGATAGATAGTGGTGTCTGGATGCCAAGTGGTTACCATGGCAGCTTTACTGCTCTAGGAGATCCGTGATTGAATTTGGATGGATCGAAAAACCCCAGGAATTTTCGTGTCCAGCTTTGTTTCTTGTCTTTCCTGTTGTGGGCTTTGCCTGATTCCTGATGGACTTGTGGAAAAAAAGCTGTCTTAGTCTCATAGAGCTGAGAAAGTGAAAAAAAAAGAGGTTTGTGAGTATGAGCCAAGTGATCTGCAGACTGACTTAGTTATGTTTTTAAGAATGCAATTCTATTCTGTTTAGCTGGAGAAAACATTTTCACTTGCCATGTATTTTTTACGTTAGGTTACCGGATAGAGGAAATATTTTAGCATGCAACCTAGCATATCTAAGTTGGTTTACATAAGATTTACAGGATAAGAAGTAGATTGGGATGCGGGTTGTCCTTGGTTTATTCATTACTTGGTTTAAGTGATCCCCAAATTGACAACTTTGAGAACTGATTTTCTAATTATTTTTAAAGCATGATGCAATGTGTTTCACTTGTTTATTATCAATATCAAGTAGTCCTGTCTTCTATAAATGTATTACACCTCGCCTTACGTCGGTAATTGGTTCCAGGAGAACGACGTAAGTCGAATTTACTTGTCTCCGAATCTACTTGTCACTAGGCTAAACCATAAATAACCATTCCCGGTTCTGTATTTTATTTATTAATGCATTTTTAATAATATATGGTTAATAGGAATCTATTTTAAGCTTACAAACAAATAAATTTTAGTTTTTAATATAGTACAGAAAAAAGTATTCTAAATTTACGAATGCATGTACTGTAAATACAGAACATACTAGTATATATTTTAATATGATTTTATGTACTTTAAACGTTTTTCTAGTGATATTACGACTTCAATATTTGTCGCGGACAGACGTAAAGTCGAATAAAATGACTTAAACTTGATTTTTATTTTTCCATATACTTTTTTGACAAACGACATATAATCGGGAATGACGTAACTCAAAACGACGTAAGTTGAGGTATGCCTGTACATCAAGTTCTCTGGTTTACCTCTCTCTTGACATTTATTGGTTTGTATTTAACTATAGTTTTAGGGATGACAGTCCTTCATTTTCTATATGTTCTGTCAAATATAATTAGCAATGGTGGACAAAGCACTGGTCACACCTAGCAATTTTCAGCTGCACAAGTGACTGCAACTGCAACATTCACGAGTTATTCTTTGTTGGTATTGCAACTCAGAAAAACGTGACCTCATAATAAACCAATAAAATCACAGTAGCTTGTTTTTGACTGCTTTCGTGAGTTTACTGATGATTTATGTTTTATTTTAGAGTATTAATGGAATTTTAGCCTTTTCTTATTAAAATCGCAAGCAGTTCCTTTTCTGCAATGAATAAAAGAAAAAAAGTGATCATTTTGTTAGAGCTGATGACAATACGTAAAGGGATAAAATGAAGAATTAAAATTTCACAGGCATTTGTGACCCTGAATAATCCCGATCAATCTTGATTCTGTAAAAGTATCAATCCTCTTACTTTCCTCCATGATGAACTATTTTCAATGTTTCTACTGTATGATGTGGCACAAAGGTGTATGCTGATTGGATGCGCATTTGCAATCAGCCCAAGTAGAACAAACTATTAATTTCTACTCGTGGTTGCAGTTGCGCCGATTTTCGAAGGGGATTTACTAGTTAAAAAGAACAGTTTGGCTGGAAATTGTAAGGTGTGATCACGGCTTAAGACTTTTCAGGCACAGCAGATTAGAGGCCCCCTCTGCATAATTTTACATAATTGTAATCTAATAATGTCCTTTGTAGCTATAGAGTTAGTGAAAGATTTTAAGACAGTGTTTAGTAACTGTCTTAAAATCTTCATGAGTTCTCTCTTTCTAAAAATTTCTTCATTTGTAACACAATCTCAAAAATGATATTAAATAACAATGGTTCATTTGCAAATGCTTATATTATATAGGACAAGTGTTAAATATAGTAGTAGAATCAATATAAATTATCATTTAGTCATCAAATGTTTTGCATTTTTGAGTTCCAAATTTTTCTTGTCAACTTGTATGAAGTAATATCAATCAACATCTTGGCTATTATTTTTTGACAATGATCTTATCAGGCTAAACTGCACCAGATCTAGCACAAGGATACATCATTTAGCATTCAGAAAATTACTGCACTTATATTCTCTAATTAATGTGAATTCAATATTTCATTAGTGTTCGGAAAAAGTCATGGAAAGTCAGGGAATTTGTAAAAAAAAGTCAGGGAATTTGTAAAAAAAAGTCAGGGAATTAACCTCCTTGGCTGCCTTGTCAATATTTTGCTGACAATAATTTTGATTAAGTGTAGCTGTCTGCAGGCAGCAAAAAGTAATATGATGAAATATAGCTTATGAAAAGGATGCAGAATATTTTTGGGACCCAAAATTTCTCCCAAGCATACACAAAATTTCTTCAAATTTTCTAAAGTTCAAAAAATGATAAATAATTTTAATTTAAATGTTATTATTTGTCATTTTTCATTTTAATAATTTTGATTCTGTAACAGAACTGTTTTTGATTTATTTTTCTCTTTATTAATATTTTATAAAGTTACAGGATTTGCTAATGAATAATAAATAAATAATGGCCCTTTTTTTCCAAACCACATGGATTTATGATTGTGGATTAATAACAGGATAAACTATCAATATTTTAATTTGATACAAGTAAAATGGCAAAGCTGTATTTGGGACAAGACTGTCTTGGAGACTCACTACTAAGCGGAATCACTTTGACGCTCAAGCGGGTCTCGTTCTCATTCTCCAATTTTCTTTGGTATTGCTGGTTTTGAGCGCGATCGTTCAAACTTCGCCGGCCATTACCATGAGGTTGTCCATGATGCATTTTCGGTGAAATTAACTTATTCAGGTATACCCTATCCAATGTCGAAATTGCTTTTCATTGCGTGACGGCCAGCGTTGAATTTTTGTTGGTGCGTAACTAAAATTTCCTGTTTTTGAAAAAAATAATTGTGGCTATTGTATCGTCTGAAATTTTTTTTTATTTTGCACAAACAATATACAGTTTAACCCAATTATAATGTCATAGGATGTAATGACAACCCTAATATAATGTCTTTAGTGGTGTGGCTAAAATCTATATGTGGCACCTCCTACCTTGTCCATGATGTCCATGTTGACTTCGACCACGTGTTCTGCGCCTTTTGTTCTGCCAGTAAAAATTAACTGAGAAACTGATAGTTTACTTAATTTGTATTGCCTACGTGATATTTACAATAGTGTTGATATAATATAAATCCAAGATTGGCATGGCTGTCGAATCGAAAGGTTAACTAAATGAAGTAAAAAGATGTCTCTCCTCATTAGAGTTTAGGAGCAAAGTGAGGGTGAAGGTCACGCGGTGGCGCCCTCTGCCCTACATGTCAAATTTTTATTGATTCCATGATTTTACTATACTAAATAATGTTAAAAAAACCCACTTGTAATGACATAAAACCATTTTAACATCATATTTAAAGCATTCCCAAAATTACAAAATTAGATTACAAATTTTATTTAACATAGAAGAAACTGTGTGTTCAGTCCTAAGGTCAGAGTTCACTTTTTTGAATGACTACGGGTGGTATTCTCCCACCTGACTTCGGTGGGGTGAGGTGCCTGTTTGTAGAAGAGGGTTGCCATTTTGTATTTTATTTTGACTCGATTCTCAGTCCCCCAACTACCTACAAGTCTGGGATTTTTTATGCGCAAATGATTTGGGCACCTAATACTCTGTGCCAAATATCAACTCTCGACATGTACTCCTTCATACCTGTAAGCTGGTAACATAAACCAGCAGTACAATTTTATAAACAAGACATAGTTTTGTCAAAAACAATTTATTTTAATTAAAAAGTTGAAGAAGCAATAGCATATGTGCATATTAAGTTAAATGCTGTTTTATTTTGTCAATGTGCCATACTATAAGGGACTTGAGGGTCATGGAATTTGTACAAAGTTGGTCAAGGAAAGTCAGAGAATTTAAAAGAAAAATTAGAATAGGAAGTCTGTATTAAATTTAAATTTTTAAGTGTTTTTAAGAGAAAAATTGTCAAATGAATTCTGTTGGACTTGCCTTTCCTTCTTTTCTGTACAAAGCTTGTGCTGACATTGAATTGCATTTTTTAACTTTATTTA